AACAATGAAAGAAATCTGACGGAAAAAAAATAGTTGTTCTACCACCCCTTAGGTATGAAGAACTCAAAAGGAACACTATATACAAAACTCAAGAGGGTCACCAAATATAACGTAAAGAACACGTAAAAGACTTGGGAATAATTATGGTCTTTAAAAGACCATAGTAGTAGGTTGGTAGACAGCAACCACCCAGGGAAGTACTACCGTCCTGCCAGATGACTGTGAAACAAAAACCTGTAACTGTTTTGCATGATGGAAGGATTGCTGGTGTCTTTTTCTGTCTCATAAACATGCTAGATAACAGGGATATCTTGCTATTCCTACTTGCACTTTGGTCACACTTCACAGACACGCATTTGCATATATATATATATATGTTGCAAGTGTATGGTGTAGGAGGTAGGTTACTGAAAGCAGTGAAGAGTTTTTACGAGGATAGTGAGGCTCAAGTTAGAGTATGTAGGAAAGAGGGAAATTTCTTCCCAGTAAAAGTAGGCCTTAGACAAGGATGTGTGATGTCACCGTGGTTGTTTAATATATTTATAGATGGGGTTGTAAGAGAAGTAAATGCGAGGGTCTTGGCAAGAGGCGTGGAGTTAAAAGATAAAGAATCACACACAAAGTGGGAGTTGTCACAGCTGCTCTTTGCTGATGACACTGTGCTCTTGGGAGATTCTGAAGAGAAGTTGCAGAGATTGGTGGATGAATTTGGTAGGTGTGCAAAAGAAGAAAATTAAAGGTGAATACAGGAAAGAGTAAGGTTATGAGGATAACAAAAGATTAGGTGATGAAAGATTGAATATCAGATTGGAGGGAGAGAGTATGGAGGAGGTGAACGTATTCAGATATTTGGGAGTGGAGTGTCAGCGGATGGGTCTATGAAAGATGAGGTGAATCATAGAATTGATGAGGGAAAAAAGAGTGAGTGGTGCACTTAGGAGTCTGTGGAGACAAAGAACTTTGTCCTTGGAGGCAAAGAGGGGAATGTATGAGAGTATAGTTTTACCAACGCTCTTATATGGGTGTGAAGCATGGGTGATGATGTTGCAGCGAGGAGAAGGCTGGAGGCAGTGGAGATGTCATGTCTGAGGGCAATGTGTGGTGTGAATATAATGCAGAGAATTCGTAGTTTGGAAGTTAGGAGGAGGTGCGGGGATTACCAAAACTGTTGTCCAGAGGGGCTGAGGAAGGGTTGTTGAGGTGGTTCGGACATGTAGAGAGAATGGAGCGAAACAGAATGACTTCAAAGTGTATCAGTCTGTAGTGGAAGGAAGGCGGGGTAGGGGTCGGCCTAGGAAAGGTTGGAGGGAGGGGGTAAAGGAGGTTTTGTGTGCGAAGGGCTTGGACTTCCAGCAGGCATGCATGAGCGTGTTTGATAGGAGTGAATGGAGACAAATGGTTTTTAATACTTGACGTGCTGTTGGAGTGTGAGCAAAGTAACATTTATGAAGGGATTCAGGGAAACCGGCAGGCCGGACTTGAGTCCTGGAGATGGGAAGTACAGTGCCTGCACTCTGAAGGAGGGGTGTTAATGTTGCAGTTTAAAAACTGTAGTGTAAAGCACCCTTCTGGCAAGACAGTGATGGAGTGAATGATGGTGAAAGTTTTTCTTTTTCGGGCCACCCTGCCTTGGTGGGAATCGGCCAGTGTGATAATAAAAAAAATAATAAAAAAATATATATGCATACATCTAGGTTTTTCTCCATTTTCTAAATAGCTCTTGTTCTTCTTTATTTCTTCTATTGTCCATGGGGAAGTGGAAAAGAATCTTTCTCTGTAAGCCATGCGTGTTGTATGAGGTGACTAAAATGCTGGGAGCAATGGGCTAGTAACCCCTTCTCCTGTAGACATTTACTAAAAAAGAGAAGAAGAAAAACTTTATAAAACTGGGATGCTTGAAATTGTAAACAGATAACAATTTAGCACTAACGAGTATTACAAAGACAGGCCATATGATCACTTACTGTATTGCTGAGCATGAAGTAGAATGGAGTATTCTGTTAGGTAGTGTAATTAAAAAATAACAAAGTTTGATTGGGTCACAGGTTAGACATTTATGAGATACAATAATGAGAAACATTTATGAGATACGATTTATGAGATACAATTATTCAGTATTTATTTAGTTGCGTGTGAGTAAGTGATTTTTGAGAAGAGACTTGAATTTATAAACAGACAGCGTTTCTTTTATATTCACAGGTAATGAATTCCAGATTTTAGGGCCTTTTATGTGCATTAAGTTTTTGCATAGTGTGAGATGGACACGAGAAATAGCAAAGAGTGATCTGTACCTTGTGTTATGGTCATGCGTTCTGTTGAGGTTGGTAAGGAGACGCTTGAGGGGAGGGTTTATATTCAAGTTAAGTGTTCTATGCATGTAGTAGGTACAATAATAAGTATGGATGTTTTGTATGGTGAGTAGGTTTAGAGTTTTGAATATTGATGGGGTGTGCTGCCTGTAGTGGGAATTTATCATTCTGACCGCAGCCTTTTGTTGGGTAATTAATGGTCTGAGATGGTTTATTGTTGTTGAGCCCCATGCACAAATTCCATAGGTGAGATAAGGGTAAATAAGTGAGTGAAATAGGGCCAGGAGGGCTGACTGTGGAACATATTACCGTATCTTCGATAGTATGCCTGCGGTCTTGGAAATTTTTTTGGAAATTTGTTGTATATGTGTTTGAAATTTTAGTCTATTATCAAGGTGGATTCCTAAGAATTTTCCCTCTGTGAGTTTTGTGATAAGTGATCCATTTATCATTATGTTAAGAGGGACATCTGTAGCTCTCTTACCAAACTGAATGAAGTAGGTTTTGTCAATGTTTAGAGTAAGTTTGTTAGTCCTCATCCAGGTAGATATTTTCTGTAATTCGGTACTTACAGTATTGGCTAGCATGACTGGGCTCAGGTGAGTGAAGACGTATGTAGTGTCATCTGCAAATAGTGTGGGTTTGAGTCGTTGCGATGCATTTGGTAAGTCATTTATGTAAACAAGAAAGAGAAGAGGGCCAAGGACACTTCCCTGTTGGACACCAACTGTAATTGGCTGTGCGGAAGAGTTTGCCCCATTTGTGTACACATATTGGCTTCTGTTGCTGAGGTATGACTTTAGGTAGTTGAGGGAGTGCCCTCTTATACCATAGTGCCACAATTTTATATGGAGCAAGTCATGGTCAACTGTATCAAAAGCTTTATGTAAGTCAATGAAGATCCCCAGTGGGACTTCTTTTTTCTCTATTGCAGTTATATATGTTCTAGCATGTGTATAATAGCATCATTAGTATTTTTATTAGGCCTGAATCCAAATTGACAGGAGTTGAGTATGTTGTGGGAGACGAGGTAGGAATAGATTTGCTTTTGAATTAATTTTTCGAATGGATTTGTTAAAGAGTGTTGCAATGATTGGTGATAGCACCTGTGATGCTTTTTTGTATATAAAGGGTGGTAAGGTATTTAAATCTCCTGTCTTGTTTTTTAGTGTGTTTATAATAAGGGAGACTTCAGTTGGGTTATTCGGAGCTAGGAACAGTGTGTTCGGGTAGTTGCCAGTGAGGTAGTCATTGGGTGGGGTATCTGAGCTTGGGATTTTATTGGCAAGGTTGTTTCCTATAGCAGAGAAGAAATCATTGAGTCTGTTTGCTATTTCAGTTGGTGGGAGTTGGGGTTCGTCTGGTTTTGTTAATTCAATTTTGCTATTTTGTGATATCTTTTTTGTTCCTAGAATTTCTGATAGGGTTTTCCAGGTCTTTTTTATATCACCTCGTAAGTTGGATAATCTGTTCTCATAAATACAATTTTTTAGCTCTTCTTATCAGGCTGGTTAAGATTGATGAGTAATGTTTTGTTTGGTCTCTGGTTATTTGACCCATTCTGTACTTTTTTCGTATAGGTGTTTTGTATTTATGGATTTGAGGATGCTGGGTGTTAGCCAGGGACTGTTCAGTCTCTTAGCTGTCATCTGTTTAGTTTTTTAGAGCAGTGCTTGTTATAGAGGTATTGGGTCTTTTTTAGAAAATTATTAATACATTCATCAATATCTGTATAGATTTCTAGCTCAGTGTACCAGTCAATGTTTGTAACTGCTGCTGTGAAGTTATTAATGGCTGCCTCATTTTGAAGTCTGAAAGTGGCTTTAGTAGTATCTTGGGGTAATTTGCCAAGATTTGTTATGAGGAAGGTAGGGTAGTGGTGTGTGGTATTATCTGTGATTATGCCTGATTTTAAAGGGGATATGGTGTTGGTCCAGATATGGTCAAGTAGGGAAACACTAGTCTCTGTAACTCTTGTAGGTTTTGTTACTGTTGGTAGCAACATGCAGTTACTCAGTGTTTGTGAATTCAGTAATATGTGGGTTCTGGTCTTGCAGGAGATTTATATTGAAGCCACCTGAGAGTAGTAAGTGATCTTTGTTCATGCGTGCATCAGTTATCATACTTCCTAGGTTTTCACTAAAACGGCTAATGTTTGACTGTGGTACTCTGTAGATGTTTATCACTGTGAGAGGCCAATAACACACTATTTACTCCTCTCATACATTATGGCAAATTTTATTCATTCTAGAGTATATATCATGTTTCCATGTTATTAATATTGCTTATGATGTCATATTAGATGAATTGTGATAGATAAATAAGCTACAGAGATGATATTAGCATCATATTGAAGCATAATGAACTTGTTATCGTCTTGCCTCCTACGTGTCTGTCATACACCAACAAGTTGAGTCAGTAAAGATAAGTTAATAAAGGTAAGTGTGATGTTAAATGTTCATTTATCCATTTTATTAGTGCTTTATATTTACTTTTTACTTCTTTTTTTTATTGCTATTAATTGCTCAAATTTTTGTGTTGCAAGTCAAATCTTACTCATAAATTAATGTTATTTGTGGTAGCTATAAGTCTAATTAATTTTGTTTACCACTACTTATTTTAGTCCCTTTTATATTGTGTGGTGCAATTAGTGCATATGCCTATTACATTATTTTGCAATTCCCTGTACAGGTCTCCCTCAACATTCACTTTTTCAACTTTAGCGGGCTTCACACATTCGTGAATTCCCAGCCGCCAAATCATATTTAAGTTTCCCACCACCTGCGCATCCCTACTACCCTCCCCCCGACCCCAGCAACTGGCAGCCAGCCTGCTACTCAGTGTGGTGAGTGTTTTGTTTGTTCATTGTTTGTTATTAAACTATAGTATAAATAATGTCAACCCATTCATGACTGCATATTGGAATGGTCTTTCGGATAGGTATTGGATGGTGACATCATTTGTTTACTCATGAACAGGGCAAAGAATCGAACATTTCTGCTACTGCTAATAATAATAATAATAATAATAATAATAATAATAATAATAATAATAATAATAATAATACAATAAAGTTGAAGTTAATTGTACAAAAATACAAGGGTTGAAGCAGTGGTGGAGGCATCGTGAGTCAGTTTGTTTTGGTTTATGCTGGAGTGAGCATTAGTCTCTGTGCTCTTCCAAACATTTCACAATAATTCATTGTGTTTGGTGATTGTAGATTGAGTGCGACTGCAATGGTGGAGGCAGTGGTTGAGGCAGTGGTGAAGGCAGTGGTGGAGGCAGTGGTTGAGGCAGTGGTTGAGGCAGTGGTGAAGGCAGTGGTGGAGGCAGTGGTTGAGGCAGTGGTTGAGGCAGTGGTTGAGGCAGTGGTGAAGGCAGTGGTGAAGGCAGTGGTGGAGGCAGTGGTTGAGGCAGTGGTGAAGGCAGTGGTGAAGGCAGTGGTGAAGGCAGTGGTGGAGGCAGTGGTTGAGGCAGTGGTTGAGGCAGTGGTTGAAGGCAGTGGTGAAGGCAGTGGTGGAGGCAGTGGTTGAGGCAGTGGTTGAGGCAGTGGTTGAGGCAGTGGTTGAGGCAGTGGTTGAGGCAGTGGTTGAGGCAGTGGTAGAGGCAGTGGTTGAGGCAGTGGTATTTAATAACATGTTATTAAACCATAACATGTATGTATATAGTACAATATTTTACAATGTTTTCATGTATTTTATGATTGTTCATAGTTAACAAGTTAAGGAAGCAGTATTGTATTATATTTCCCTACAGTATATTGGGGCATCAAACACTCATGATTTTTCAACATTTGTGAGGCTCTTGATCCCCTAACCCTCGTGAATGTTGAGGGAGACCTGTACTATCTTTTACTAGCTGGTACCAACTACCTCATATATTTTTTTTACTTTTTTTAGTGCTATTAACTGCTCAAACTTCATATTACAAGCCAGATCTTACTCCTAAATTAATATTATATCATAGTGACTATCTGTCCATTAAACATTGTTTACCACTACTTATTTTAGTCTCTTTTATATTTTCTCCTTTATTTTAGCTTTCAAGAACTGCTTTAGTTCGTATATTCACATTTGTTAAAATAATTCAGGAGCTATTTTTTAGCTTTAGAACATTTACATTGTCTTATACTTAAGTCTAATTATAGATTCATTATAAATCTTATGATTACAAGCATTGATCCTGATACCAACTTCTTATTGAATGACTTAAATGAATCAAATAGCAACTGTAATTACTACACAGCAGGAGAAACAAAGGCACTTCTCAGAGCCAACAACAACATAACTGTTTTTCTACAATGTCAGATCTTTAAGCAAACATTACGATAACCTCACAGCATTACTAAATTCCCTGCATGCCATTATGTCCATCATTACTCTCACCAAAACCTGGCTAAAGCCAGATACTACAGATGTCTATGGCATTCCTGGTTACACAGCCATACACAACTGTAGGCCAGATCAACAAGAGGGTGGCACAGCTATAAACTACTCAGTCCAACTAGAATGTATCAATAATACTTGCACAAGGGATGAACATGGGGAATATATAATAGGTAAATTCAAATCCAAATACCTACAAAAACCTCTCACAGTGATAAACATTTACAGAGTACCACAGTCAAATATCAGTCATTTTAGTGAAAACCTAGGAAAGTATGATAACTGATGCACACATGAATAAAGATCACATACTTCTCTCAGGAGACTTCGGTATAAATCTCCTGCATGACCAGGACCCACTTGTAACTGAATTCACAAACACTATGAGTAACTGCATGTTGATACCAACAGCAACAAAACCTGTAAGAATTACAGAGACTAGTGTTTCCCTATTAGACCACATCTGGACCAATACCATATCCTCTTTAAAATCAGGAATAATCACAGATAATCCCACAGACCACTACCCTTTCTCATAACCAATCTAGGTAAATTACCCCAAGACACTACTAAAGTAACCTTCAGGCTTCATAATGAGGCAGCTATTAACCCTTTCAGGGTCCAGAGGCCAAATTTCAAAGTGTGCACCAGGGTCCAAGAATTTAAAAAAAAAATTTTGTTAGTTTTTCTTATGGAATGGTAGAGAATCTTTTTCTGAAGGTAATATAACAAAAAATATGAAATTTAATGGAAAATTGACGAAATTATGTTCTCGCGAATTTTGATGTGTTAGCGATATTTGTGAATCAGCAATTTTGCCGACTTTGACTCCCATTTTAGGCCAATTACATTATTCCAGTCGACCAAATTCTTAGCTTTTTCACTAGTATTACTTCCATTCTGTCGACTGAGCACAAGAAATTTCCAAGTCAACTGTTTCAACTACAAAATAAAGTGGTCGGAAATTGGTAATTTGGCCAATTTAACACAAAGTTCAAAATATTCCAATTTCAAAATAGGGCCCAGAATAAACAATGTAGGTATTCCTGCCAATAAACTAACATTTCCTCTGTTCATTAGTTGCATTTTGAGGCTTTACAAATGAATTCCATTTTGATTTTTTATTCACATAATGAATTTTTATTCAAACCAAAAAATAGAAGATTCACTGTTTTGCAATATTCTAATAATTGTATAAATATCATCACCACATTTGTGAATGTATATTAGACCCACCAGCTGGCGTGTATTAGACATGTGAGGTCGTTTGTTTACTCTTGAACATCCGCAAAAATTTAGCATTTCCGCAATTTTGAGCTCAGTTTCAAGCCATTTCCAGTGCTAAAATCAATCAAAATCATCTCTATTTCTGTAATATGTCTTCCATTCTATCTAATGAGACCAAGAAATTGCAAATACACCTACAAAAAACATACGAAAAAACACTGCAAAGTAGCTGTTTTAATCGAAAATCACGGTCTCAGTTTTTTTCTCTCACTATACACTGTGTGCTGCAGGATTTGTTTTATGTGGTGCACACATACCACACAGATGTATTCTCTCATATCTAGGCCCAAATTTACCACTCACAGCTTATCAGAGTGAGCTGAGCTCATGGCGTAGATCTCCGGTTTGGACCTTGAACATAAAGCCGTAGATCTATGGCATGGACCCTGAAAGGGTTAACAACCTCACAACAGCAATGACAAACATCAACTGGCAAACTGAGCTAGAAATCTATACAGATACTGATGAATGTATTAAAAATTTTCTAAAAAAAGACCCAATACCTCTATTACCTGGAGTTTACCTGGAGAGAGTTCCGGGGGTCAACGCCCCCGCGGCCCGGTCTGTGACCAGGCCGCCTGGTGGATCAGAGCCTGATCAACCAGGCTGTTGCTGCTGGCTGCACGCAAACCAACGTACGAGCCACAGCCCGGCTGATCCGGAACTGACTTTAGGTGCTTGTCCAGTGCCAGCTTGAAGACTGCCAGGGGGTCTGTTGGTAATCCCCCTTATGTGTGCTGGGAGGCAGTTGAACAGTGTCGGGCCCCTAACACTTATTGTATGGTCTCTTAACGTGCTAGTGACACCCCTGCTTTTCATTGGGGGGATTGTGCATCGTCTGCCAAGTCTTCTGCTTTCGTAGTGAGTGATTTTCGTGTGCAAGTTCGGTACTAGTCCCTCTAGGATTTTCCAGGTGTATATAATCATGTATCTCTCCCTCCTGCGTTCCAGGGAATACAGGTTTAGGAACCTCAAGCGCTCCCAATAATTGAGGTGTTTTATCTCCGTTATGCACGCCGTGAAAGTTCTCTGTACATTTTCTAGGTCGGCAATTTCACCTGCCTTGAAAGGTGCTGTTAGTGTGCAGCAATATTCCAGCCTAGATAGAACAAGTGACCTGAAGAGTGTCATCATGGGCTTGGGCCCCCCTAGTTTTGAAGGTTCTCATTATCATCCTGTTTATTTTTCTAGCAGATGCGATTGATACAATGTTATGGTCCTTGAAGGTGGATCCTCCAACATGATCACTCCCAGGTCTTTGCCCTTGGTGTTTCGCTCTATTTTGTGGCCAGAATTTGTTTTGTACTCTAATGAAGATTTAAATTTTCCCCATGTTTACATATCTATTAATTGAAAATTTTCACGTTAACTTTTATTTGTTTTTGCAGCCCCCGAAAATTGGTTGATGTCCGCCTGGGCTTTGCAGTGTCTGCAATGGAAAACCCCCTGGGGCCGGGCAGGTGCTGGGATGTCATTTATCCCCTGTTCAAAAGTCATTTGGCATCGGTAACATGGATAGGTTTGGGTTTTAATAAAATTTTGTGGCTTCTCTTAAAAAATTTTTTGATCTTCGACTTCATTTGGTTTAGCGGCTTGAAAAAGCTGAGTCATATTGGTACTTGAGTAGCTCACTTTTCCTTGCTGTCATCTGTGTAGGACCCATCTTGTTTAAGTAGGGGCCCAATACTGGACATTGTTCTCGATTTTGATTTGGCATAGGAGAAGAAATACTTTGGGTTTCTTTCGATTTCATTTATGGCTTTTGGGTTCTTCTCGCAAATTCCGACCCCTAAAGGATTTTTTTAGCTTAAGTTCGATGCTTGCTTTTTTCTCTGACCAGTGTCTCCTTACGCATTTCAGATATATGGACCTCTTTTAGCCGCTCTGTTATTTTTTTCCGTCGCCGGGTAAAGGGAGCGCCTGTCTCTTTCTATTTTACATCTGCTCCCCCTTTTTCTTAGAGGAATAAGCCTTGTGCATACATCGGTGCCACCGAGTTAATCTGTTCTAGGCATAAGTTGGGGTCTGTTTTTGCTTAGTATATCTTCCCAGCTTATATTGGTTAGGATTGGTTTACTTGGTCCCACTTTATGTTTTTGTTATTGAATTTGAATTTGGTGAATGCTCCTCGTGACTAATCTCATTAGTCTGTCTGGGGCTCCGCGCATACATG